GCCGCCAACCTACTAGCGATGGCCTCCAACCTACTAGCGATGGCCGCGAACCTACTAGCGATGGCCTCCAACCTACTAGCCATGGCCGCCAACTGCCAAAAAAGGAATAAAGCATCATCCACTTTTTCTAGGAGAAAAACATCATTGGTAAAGAAGAAGCGCTCCGCCACAAAAATGATTGAAATCGTCTTTATAAAGTGTGACCACTGGCAGCAGTTCAGTCAGTGGCTCTGCTGCTAGTCGGTTGCCAGCAGCTGTGGCTGGCGCAAAAATGGGGAAAAACTCAGCGCGTTCAATTGGCGCCCAGTTCATGGAAACAAAGCTCTGCCTGACAGCGAGGCCAAAGAAAAAGGCCATCAAAAGAAGCTCCTAAACTACTCTGGACCGCAAAAATGCACGTCCACTATTCGACTGATCTTTCTGGAAGCATCCATTTCAACATGTTCCTCCTGCTCTTCCAGAACCAACTGCAACGCAACTGCATCCATCTCTCTCTGTCTCTCTGTCTCTGTTTCTGCCCTGGTTGAACCTCGTCTATCGCTCATCTGGAAGCTGCAATGCCAGGGAGTCCAGGACGCGGGTGAGTCGAAGGGATTGCGGCAGTGGCGCATCCTCTGGGCGTTGACAGACGCAAACCTGAGAAAGAGAACATCTCCAGGTGTTGTAACATGTTTAAGTTTAAAATAGGTCTGTTCCAAACTTCTTAAGATCTTGGTCTACTCATTTGCATTGCCAAGACACCACACACCACAAACCTGTTCGCAAACTCCTGCAGGTGAGGACCGCATTCCCATTCTTGGTATGGAAGTCAGGAACAAGAACTCCAAGCAGTTTCACAGTGGTGTTAGAACTTTAGCCAAGAAATGATGCCCGGAAAGAAACAGCAAAGAGTTCCGTGTGTCTCCACGTGATTGAGCATGTGTCACGTATTTTCATACATGTTCGTATCACATTCTCTAAACCGTCCTGAGTAGTTCAGGGCCTGTAGATGCAGTGCACAAACCATTGGTCGTCCACCAGCGGCCACCCACCACCACAGGTGAGTCTCGGGACACGAATTGTGGACCCTGACCAAAGGTGGACAAACTGATTGATAGCGGTCGTTCGAGATCATCGACAAGAGCCTCCTGGCCACAGATCATGGACCGGTAAAGGAGTTCATCGGAGAAGTCAATATCAACATTCTCGACTGAACTGCTTCCATGACACAACAACGTGAACTAACTTGACTACTGTATCACTTGCAACTGATGCTAGTCAAATGGCTCTTTGGTATCTATGGTCTATGGTCAACTTGAGTTGTTCGGACTGGGAGATGATTTTCTTCACCCGTCCTTAGGAGTCACTCGAAGAACGACATCGTTGTTGGTCGTCCAACCAAGTTGCAGCAGGTACGTCTCTGCTCCAACTTCAGAGTTGAGATCGAAAGAGACAGGCGCACTTACACTGCCGCTGCTGAATTGAAGGCAGCGTATCCTTGGCTCCGATGGTGCTTCGATGGTGCTCGGTCAAAACCTTGTGAAAACCGCTGGTCCCTGCAGTTGCACAGGACTCCAAGTCCTCTTTGTGGCTTCTGCAGGCCGCAGTCCACATCAATTCACCCCGTTCGGTTCTGACATGGACCAGGGACATCCAGGGACCCTGTGGCTCACAGAGCTCACAAAGAACCAGGGATCCACAGCTTTGAGTCTACTTACTTTCCTGCTGCCTTTGTCGGTTCGACCTGCAGCGTGGGTTCGGGACATAAAGCGGTACTTTTCAGTGACAGACTCGTTCCGTGATCGATCCCCAAACGAAAACGCGTGAAAGATCGATGAGTGCGAGTCCCTCACAGTCTGCCGGGCATCATGGCCCCAGTTGTGGCACGGCCTCTGCTTCTCGCATCTTTGGCTGCCTGATCCGCCACATCGAACTTCACGGCAAGCTTTCGGAGTTCCTGACAGCACACCCGTTCGAACATGGGTCTTAGTTGGGTCTGAGTGCACTTAGTTGGGTGCTCAACCAAGCATGTGCTTTCTATTCTCAAGCGAAGCACCTCCGTGATTCCCATGGCACCAGGTGGCTATCTTTTCTGCAGCGACGCCCATTTTTTCAGCAGGTCATGTCAGTCCCTTTCACCCGGCAGCGGCTTTTGGCGCTGCAAAAGTACTTCTCCATTCTTTCTCCATCACTCTTCCATGATTCCTCCTGGTTTCAAGAGGTATTTCTTCTTCCCATCACGGAAAGGCGCTTCATACGGTTCCCTCTTCGCGCTGACTTCAAGAAGGTTTCCCCCACTGGTCGTCAGAAAGCGGAATACCTTGCTCCCAACCGTCTTGTTCGTGAAAACACCACCAGCACCACTCGTCGTGGTCTCCAGCTCAGTCCCTTGAAAGGTCAACAAGTCACCACGAATGGTCCAGTTTCCATGCCAAAGCTCGATTTCCTCAGGACTGTCTCGGAAGGTGACCCTCTGCTCCTTGACTGTGCCGGTCCCATCTTGCTTCACCAGCACATTCATGCTGTACTCACCCCAATCACCATCACCGCCGGAAATGTGGTACGAGTTCGAGATCCTTTCAAATGCCTCTTTTTCAACGATCTTGAAAGCATCCAGGACTTTCTGACGATCGTCCTCCGGAATGGACTCGAGAAATTTCTTAATCTCCTCCTCACTCGCATCCTGCAGACCAGCGGCTGTTGTTCTTGGACTTGGCACTAATGCCATGAAATCCTGAAAAGAGCTACCTCACACACACCGTCGACTTGAGATTTCACAAGTCTTAATCGTAACTCCCTTCACGCTTGAGCCAATAGGGCCGACAGGGATAGACACTGGAAGGACAGACAAGAAGCACACCCGCTGGCCAGCTGCAAGAAACAAGCATAAAACGCATCCAAACTGGCCCAAACCTCCAAGGAATCCAGCACAAGGGGTGGTTCCATTTCCAAAGTGGACGCTGCCACCAGCTTGCTCAATGAAGCCTTGGCGGTGGCTGCATTGGCCGCCTGAGCCAAAGGGCATGCTCTCCACGTAAAAGCTTGTCGTTTCTCATTTGTGTTTTCACTTGGGCTAAAACTAGACCTCGCCTCTAAGGCTGTGGAACATTCTCCGGCAAGCACGAAGTGCGGAAGACGCTGCTGGAAGTATACCACCCAGTGCTGCGAAACCTGCCAAGAAGAAGGTGTTGGTTTCCTGATGTCTTTTTATCTGCACTGCATAAATCGAAAACATCAAGAATAGATTAGAATATATTAGAATAGTAGAAAACGATAATTGCCAAGATCGAAGTCCGAAGGTCGAACGTCGTCCTTCGTCGTGATCCGTCCGCAGTCGCGCCTTGAGATCCCTGAGGCCGCTGGCACAAACCATCTCCAACGTCGCCAGATCTTTGCAGGTGAGCGCAGACAGCAGGCTACCAATCAGCACCTCGTTGGGTGGCACTTGGCTGCCCAGAAAAGCCATGTGCCATGACTGCGCTCCTTGGCACTCCACTAAAATTGGACTAAAAGAACCCACTCTGACTGAGCCTACTGAAAACATCTGCTTTCTTGGTGTCTGTCCGAATGTCGCTGCCTGACATGTGAGATGTCTCTTGGAACTTGCGAACTTGAGCAAAGCTTCCAAGCTCCATGTGAGATGTCTCTTGTATCTTGTATTTTCTGGCTTGTCTGGCTTCATCTGGCTTCTCATGATTCCATTGAAGCCCCATGTGCTCTGGCATCCCAATGCCAGGCACTTGAGGTGCAAAATTGCTGCAAGCCACAGCCAGTGCATCAACCGAAAACTTCTTAAACTTCCTAAAGATCCGTTCCTGTGTAACCATCATTGGTGCCCTTAGACTGATTCTATCTTCCAAGCAGAAAGGAGTCCTTCCGAGACGGTTCGATCTGCAGAGGGCCTGGATCTGTCTTCCAAGCTCTTGAATAGGGCGGCTCTGCTCCTCATCCTGACATCACAGCCACAAGGCTGTCCAAGACCAATCGGCTCAAGGCACAGTCCCTTCGCCTGGTTGAAAATCTCTGGGTTGACGTGTGTCCGCCAAATCCTCTTCATTCCAATGTGCCAGTTGCGGGTGTCCTGCATGATATTGATTGAATGGCCCGATGGCCTGGACAGACATCTGTGATGAAACGACTGTCCTCACCACCGGTTGCCAGCTCATGGAGATCTGCTGAGAAGCGAAAGATGGTCCGCTCCCGCCTTAAAGCTTGCAGATGTTGGTGATATTTGAGAAGCTGCTATGTTGGTGATGTTTTTGATACCAACATTCAACATAGTCATAGTCTTGTATCGTCTTGTATCACTCAATTTCACCAAAGACCTTCTCGGGCACCAGCTGTCTGATGAGTTCTTTCTGTTTCTCCACCTGACCCAAGAGGAGGATGCAAACTATGCATGTAATTGGTCTATGCAACTACTGTAGTTCCAACAGCAGCCAACAGCAGCCAACTCGACAGCCAGCGAAGGCTGGTCACCTCCGCAGACAGGTCCGAGACTTGCTGGCTCTTCGTCTCAAGCACGGTTTCCTGAAAGGTCCATGACTCGAGCACAGTGGACCAAGACGTTCTCAGAACAAGTGCGTTGCAGAAAATGGTTGTCTTTTCTGCAACTGACTGAGCTCATGAAGTCTCCGGTCCATCTGTGCTTGGATCTCCAGTTGCTTCTCAAATTCCTCTTCAAGCGCGGACAGCTGCCTGGCCAAACAAGAGGTCGCAGCTCTGAACGAGCCCTGCAACTTGCGCTCTGGCTATGTTAAAATGTTCGAGCATGCTGTTTCAGTGGCTGTACCGTTTCACCTATCCTGGCTGTACCGTTTCACCTATCCTGCTTTCGGTGTTGAGCTTTGACCCATACCGAGAAGGATGAACTTCAGTCGCAGCCAATGCTTTGATCTTGGCATCTTGCAACGAAAACAATGCAAATTACACTCAGACGGCAGCTTCGATAAGAAGACTCACAAGGCATACTTCTGCAGTTTCTTCTGACCCCGATCCGGACGCCGCACTCGTAGGGCTAGCAGCTGGACAAGCAATACATGATGGCATCAAAGGACGGATGCAAACAGAATGCAGCAGTTGCGATCGTTCCGGGGCAGTTCGACACTTCGGGGGAAGCAGCGAAGCGAAGCAATGCGAGTTCATTTCATGAAAAAACAAAACGGTTCCAGTTCCAGGTAGAGAGTTGTGATCCAAAACCAGGTTCCAAGTCTCAAGGCTCCAGGTGTTTCAAGGCAAAAGGCTAGGTGTCAATCAGGGGTCCAAGGTTCAAAAGAGGAAAAATTACAAAAACATGCAAGGAGATCAAATGGAGTTGTGCAATCATATCCTCCTTGGGCTTCAGGGAGTCAGTCACCTGCCAGAGTTTCCACTCAGCTTCACAACCCAACGAACATCAGGACGGACCGCCTCTCGCAACCGGAAATCCAGGACTTGCTTGAACTTCTTCAAGGTTTGCACCTCATGCGGAGCATTGCAGATCATAGCAGAGCAACCCGATGTAAACTCCATCCCAAGGCACCCCCCTCCACAGCACCCATCGGCCAAAAGTGTTCATCAGGTTCTCTCCTCCTGATCCTCCTTCTCCTCATGGCCATCTATCATTGTCATCATGTTTTCGGGCATGTACTTTAAGCTTGTCTTTGATTAATGTTGCACATTTGCCTGTCCAGGTTTTGAAGTGAACAATCTTTTGAAGAGACTTAGCGTGCCCTGCGATTGTTCTGCAAGGGGTGGGAGATGGTCAAAACATTGGAGATGGTTGTCCTTGATGTATCGCGTGGATCTTCACCAAAGACACTGTCCTGTGAAATCAATACAAGGCCAAAGGGGTGTTCGAGACCTGTGTAGGGTTGGTCTTTTTCTATGCAACTGACAACCGTAGCACAGAAAGTACTGTCCAGGACCTGTACCAGAGACTGCCAGGATGATTGAGCAAAGGCCGAGAAACCCAACGAAAAGAGAAAGATACACACTGAGAAAGAGCTGAGTTGTGCACGTGATGAAGTCAACAATGTCTCCGCGAGTGAAACAAAGCTTGAGGCCCTCAAACAGAGTCCCTAACCTAATGGTGACGAACGAGTGAACTACTCCAAACACACATGAAACACTCTGATGTCAAACTGCGTTGCGAGGAATTCTCACCTATCCTTTGTTCCAAACGTGCTTCCTTCCACAGCTTCAAGCGGCTTTGACTGCTACCTGTTTTTCCGTGATGGCTGTCCACCTGTATGCATTCAACGGGCTGCAGCTGTGGACAACCTTTATACTTTTATGATTTCCGTGATGGCTGTAACCACATACGCAGTTTTCAATGCACCAGGTGCTTCTGTTGTTACTGTTCTTGTGCTTTTTGTGTTGCCACGGTCATTAAGCTAGCGGTCTAGACCGAAAATGAGGCGCCACAGGCAAGAGCTTGCTATTCTCAAAAGCTTAGGCCAGGAATGTTCAGGCAAGTCTGTGAAGTCGGCTTTCTGAGGCCACCACCTTTACTTTGTGAGTCCCGATCTCCATCTCCTTGTCTCTTAGGGTGGACTCTCTCTCCTTCCGTTCGACCTCGAAGCGATCACCGAGTGAATCTCACATGTTCATCAGGCTGGAAGAAGAACAAGAACAAACTAGTAACAAGTGCCACGCTAGTAGTAACAGGTGCCTTACTACTAGTAACAAGAAGCTATTAGGAATAAGTGCCTTACTACTAGTAACAATAAGAATTTAACTAATTAGAATTGTAAACCCCGATACCACCCACCTTAAGGGAGTGGACCTCCCGCTTCATGAGTTCAGCCTCTCCGAAATCCAGAACTGAAGGAGCCAATCGGCTCAAAGTATTCTGTCTCTTCAATGAATCTCTAGCTTAGTGTCTTAGCCCTCCGGATGGTGAAAAAGAACTTGCGGACTTGCAGAATTGTGAAAAAGAACTTGCAGAATGGTGAAAAGGCTGGAAATATCCATCTTCATCTCTGAGCTTCTCAAGACTCGGAATGCATGAACACAAGAAAGCTTCGCAAGAAGCTTCTGGCTCCGCCTCCGATCTTAAGTTGCTGATGCTCACCTCCAGGCCATAAACAAATAATGTTGAACTGGCTTGATTGACTAAGCTCATAAACATTCGCTTTCAATGAAGGTTGTTAGATTTGACACTGGTCTCCAAAATCCAGCTGACAAGCAGGCGGCTTCTATTTAATGTCCCACTCTGAGGCTCTGGCCCCAGCTTCCCGCTGTTCCATCGCAATCCGATCCCGATCCTTCGAGCGCCGGTTAGACTCACACCCGACGTCTCGACGCCCCGGACGTCTCGAGACCCGCCTTCTCCATCATGTCCAGCGCTCGCCTCGGTGCGCGTCGTGTCACGTTGATCCGCGGGCGATGGAAGACGCGCTCTGTCCGCCAGGGTCTCTCTGCGAAGCGGAGCCAAGCCACACTAACATATCTTGATCCTTCTTGAGCTTGTACTCCACCAGGTGTTGCTGCTCCAACTCCTCTCACGAGATAAGGGAGATACAGTGGTCTTGGCTACAGGTGTCTTGTTACTCCGTCACTGTCCTCCTGATTCTTCTTCTTGATTTCTGAGATCTCCAAGGATTGCTCCATACCTTCCTGGTCAAACCTCACTCGACACAATCGAAACATCTCATCTCGCACCTCTCAGAATGTGCGTGAATAAGGTGTTGGCATGGCATCGAAGCGCTTCTCAGTGAAGGCAATCAAATCTTTCAATGTCTGGATCTGCGGCAGAAAGACCAAGTTAGAGATTTGGGGCCACTCTTCCAAGCAATACCTTGCCTTAGCATCCTTCTCACTGAGGCGTTGCTGCACAACCTCCCAAGAGTACGTTCAGCTCGGATGGCTTTATGTGTTCTCTCTTTCTTTGTTTGTTTTTCCTTGAGCTACTAGTTAAGTTTCCCTGAAAATCTAGGAACCAAATGAATAGTGCGAGCGCTTCTGAAAGGAAGCGTGAGCTATCCTGTGTCCAAGGTAGTAGAGTGGTGTACCTACTAGCTACCTCTTCCTTATTTGATTAACTAGGCGCCTACTAGCTACCTCTAGCGGCCTACCCCCGCCTTCTCTTGCTTCATTTCTTGCTGCTCCATATCCCATCGAGCTTGTTGCCGGTTCTGCAAGCTCACCGAAGCACCGAAGCATAGCAACCACACGGTAACGGCTCTGTTTTTCAAATCGTCTGCCTGCTCAAATTTGGCCTCCATTTCTCGAAGTTCGGCCTCGAATCCCAACTTCAATCCAACTTCAATCCGTTCGTAGCGATGTCCTTCGCTCCTAGTAGGAGCTACTAGTAGCGTCCTTGCTCCTAGTAGCAAATCCCAACTTCAATCCATTCTGGTAGGTGATTCTCCACTATTTTTGGAAACGGCCACACACCCTGCCTGCAAAGCCACATAGCTATCAGCATCTGCTCGCATTCGCTTGTCATATGCCTGATGCCCAGAAAATGGCTATAGTACATCTTCTGCATGTCCAGGCCAAGCGACCTTCTCTTCGTCATCTGCTGACGCGACATGTAAAGCCTGTCAATCTTTGGGCAAGGCTATTAGATGCTATTAGCGTGTCAATGTTGTTGCTTATTGGAACGAAGGACCGCTCATGCTCATGTTGCAAGAATCAAGAACAGTGACAATAACAAGGCATGCTGCTAGCGCTCAATGGACCTCGGTGATCTTCATCTTCCGCAAGTTTTCTCTCTCCTTCACAGTCGAGGCCTCGAGGCCGACGCATGCACGACGACTCCTTTGACCGTCTCGACAGCTTTGTCCGCTACAACGGCGAGACCCTGAAGATCCCTGAAGCCTTAACCCTGTCATATCAAAGGTCAGAATGTTTGTCGGACATGTGCTTCTTGCAGGTTGTGTTGTGCCTTAAGCAACCAATCAGCAACCATCGTCTTACATAAAGTCACACAGGTGCTGAATGCTGCTCATACGCGACTTGAAGTTCTATGCATTGCACATTCAAAGACTGGTGTTTGTTTTGCCTTCTGTTTTTGCGAAAGAGTATCTGCTGACATCCAAAGGACCGCCCCCTCGATCAGAGACTATGCCTGCCTGCTGCTTCTCCTCATATAGTTTGCCTCAAGTCCAAGTTTGCAGCAAAGGCAGCCATCTTTCAACTTGTTGCTCTTTCAATACAAGCCAAAGGTGTCTTTGTTGCCGATCCCTTACCAAAATAGACAACTCCCAACGTAATAAGAATCCCTTCAAGCCAGTGCCAGCAATACTTGGGCCATTGCGAAGAGATTGAATTGTGGCTTGCGCTTTCCGTCTGGCCTGGCGTCTAGAAGATTGTCCAAAGTGTGGAAAAGAATCATCTCGCTGAACAGCAGAATGAAAGGCCAGAGCACCTCCTCAACTCTCGCTCGAAGCTCGCCTCAGGTTTCAAGTCAAGCACCAACCACTTCAAGCACAAAAAGGGCAAGGAAAGCATCTGAGCCATATTTCCTGAAGTTTTCTGATCAATCCACCGTCTATACCAGTAGCACTCGGTAGCCATGTTCACGATCTTCGCCTTTATCCTTCACTGTCCTTCAGACCCAAAGTCCAGTGTTTCTCTTCGTTTGGGCAAGGCCTTGAAGCCTGGCAGCGTTCTCCTCCAGCTGTGTCTTTAGCCTGGCCGTCTTGGACTACACTGGATTCGTGGCAGTCGACACACCAAAAATAGAAAGACCAATCTAAAGGTTGGCACTTGGCACAAGTGTTTTTGAACTTAAAATGCGGATCTTGACTGCGGGCTGCGTTCTCAACTATGGCAGCACCTTCTTATGCACACAAACGGGCGTTGCCCAGCGATGCCCTAAAGGCATCCAAGCATATTCAGAGAATCTGAAAGCCATCGCAAAGCTCGGTGGCCTTGCGCAACTGCTTTGCTAAGCAGTCTTTCGTGGAGTAACGTGGCATCTGCAGCATGTTGGCGCAAGTCATTGCCCTTGGCAAAGAATCATCTTCTCCATCTGCAGGCTGCACTTCGAAGGATTGGATGCCCACGTATCCAATCCGATGCACACCTGTGGTGAACTTCAGCACCTTGGCACGGAAGGCCTCATCCGACTCTGCAAGAATTTCCCACAGCCAGGCTGCTTGTGTCTGCACCTCATGGCTAACTGTGGCCACCTCTTTCCAACGACGAATGTCAGCATCGGTGACGTTGCTGCCTCCCCAGATTCGAACAAGCTCTGAAGGTGTCAAAAGAACAAGCAATGGACAGGTACGTCGACTGCCCCCCCCAGATGTCCAGGATTCCCAAACGGAACGCATCTGCGGCTTTCTGCATGGATTTGTACAACTTGTCATGCAAGTGGAGCCTGAGCCAGTCTGCTTTGTTTTCCTCGGTGACCTCGACATCATGGCCACCGGGAACCAGCTCAACCTCTTTCTCAGTACCTGTGATGGTTCGGGTGAGCTTCAGACCTTTGATGCCGGACTCAGAGACATGGCACTCCAGGAGCTTCCGAGAGGCTCGGATGTCATCGGTGCCCTCAGACTCCGCCAGCTGTCGCTGCAACTCGTCCAACTGAACGGTGTCGTCCCGGGCAACTTGATACACGAAGAAACCTGCAACCTCTTCTCCCAAAACATCACCGTACTTCAAGGCCAAACCAGCAGCACGCCCTGCGGCCCGATATGCCTCCTGTGCCTCATCAAGCCCAGCGAGTTTGTCCTTTGGAGAGGTCTCTGCAACCAGGTCAGGGACAGGAGCTATGGCACCTGTTGGCAAACGCCTCCACAGTGCTTTCAAGTCGCTGCAAAGGCGCCCTCCGATCATGCAGAAAAAGTCTCGACGAGGTCCACCGTAGTCTTCGGCGACCTCGTTCTTGAAGCGAATGCTCAAAGGGTTTCGAAGCTCTTCTATACTGAGCTTCATGAGACCCATCAAACTCTTTTTCAGAAAGTCCTGGCCCCGCTCCACCTCCACACGGGCCTTCCGATCTTTCTTTTCTGGAGGCAAAAGCTCTCTGCAAATCCGCAGCCGCTCATCTAAGGACAATGTGCCATGGACACGAAGAAGCAGAGCACGGGCACAGAGCAATTCATCCTCTTTGCTACAATCGGCAGCTTTACACCAGGCCTCACACGTGCCTTCCAGTAAGGATCTCACTCTCCCCATGAGCATCTTTGGCAGCTCTGGTTTTTCCCAGTCCAGCAAAGGTGCGACAGAGGCTATGTCCCTCAAGCGAAGAAGACCGCTTTGCAATCTCTTCGTAAAGGCTTCTTCAAAATCTTCAACGACCACTGGAGCTGGAGGGGCAGAGGATGCGCCATCCGTCGATGGAAAGGCAAAGGCCGTTTCAAGGCCTTCCTGCCGGAAGCTCGTGCCGCTATGATCCCACGCGGTGAGGTGGGAGCGGCATAATCTCCAAAGGGTCATCCCTGGCTCTGCGGCTAAGCTCATCTCTAGCATCGGTGTTTGATGCATCACTGGGTCTGTGCTTTCAGAAGTTGCACTCTTGGTCTCAGCGGAGCCTTTGGCTTCGCCTTTGGCTTCGCCTTTGGCTTCGCCTTTGGCACCTTTGCTCCCTCTGCCCCTGCCACCATGACCTTTTGAAGAGCTTTTCCTCTTCTGACTTTTTGCTTCTGCTTTTGGCACGGGCTCAGGCTGCTGAGGCTGGGGCTGGGGTTCCTGACTCTTGAGACAAGGCAAGCGAAGCCCAGGGACTGCCACCTTGACTTCCCGAAGCAAGTCTTCCAAGGTGGCTGAACCAGGCAATTCCAGCTTCGGAGTCTCTCCAGAAGGTAGAAGCAAAGTAATCTCACACTTCGCAGGGAATTCCCCAAGAGCTGGGGTCATCGGACTGGCTACCTGATTCATGGGGTCTGGTTTGGTCTTTTCGTTGGACGGCATTTCGTTGCTCTGTTCATTCGGCTCATTTGTCACATCGTTGGACTGGACCTCATTGGATTCCACAATGTCATTGCTCTCATTGCTCTCATTGGTTTCGTTGGTTTCGACGGAGTCCAAGCACTTGCCCCCAAGTTTCTTCAGTCTTGCCTCAACATCCTTTTGTGCAGCCCGCAAGCTATCGACTTGCTCCTGCATGAACACTAGGAAACACTCTGGTCCTTCTTCAATCAGCTCGAAACCCAACTCCTCAAGGAACTGCTGGGCCTCGTCATTGGATCCCAAGTTGTCTTTGAACTCGTCATCCACCAAATTCAGGCTGCGGAAGGAGAAATCTTCTGGATCTTCTGCTATTCTGCGCAGCGCCCTTTCAAGCTTCTGCAGGACTTCAATGTCCTCTAAAAGGGGGTTGACACTCCAAACATAGAGCCAAAGGAGTTCAACCAACCGGAATTCACATCCGACCCCTGTGTATGGCCTTTTTGGGGGGGGAGGACGCACCGCGCTGGCGGTTTTCCGCTTTGAGAAGTCTGCCACCCGTCGACGGACACTACGGGACTCAGTTGATGTGTAAGCCTAAACTGATTGATAGGGTACTCCAGCATACTACATTGATACCAAATGGCATCAACCTGAAAGGGGGCACTGTCCTTGAAAGAAAATCCTGAACGCCACTAGTCGAGTCTGGAATGACAAACAACATGAGGTACAACAAAGGGCTGGAGGTTCCAAGCATGCCGGAATGGTGGTCTTTGGTAAGACTTAAGAACTAGATAACGCTCGCTATCACACCATGACCCTGTACATCTCTCAACTGTGATTGAACTCATCAACAAAAATAAAGCCCAGCCTTGCTTTGCCAGAAAATGAAGGAATCCAAAAAGCTTGTTGATGCTTAGTGCATCTGTGGCACTGATGTACCGTTCTTTTTGCTTGTCCTTTTCACTGTGGCACAACACCTGCTAAGCTATGACTAAACTTCAGCCTCTGCCCCTTTTGACCTTGTGCGACACTAGAATCGCGGACATGCATGGTCGGTGGCACGAATTTGTAGGAATTGGGATTGGGTCCGTCTTTCAGAGGTGAGCCTTTGAGCAACCTCCGTCTTTCAACGGCGCTTGAGAGATTGATCTCTCCGAGAAACCCACCCATTCCGGAAAATATTGCATCAGCGTCGACCCCAAACAGCAGTGGCAGCTTAAGGTTTTATGTTTCTATTTGCCAATTCGGCACGCAGTGCCAAAGCATACCTGTCAAGCCGGATCCTCCCTAATTCAAAAAACAAGATGGAGCCCACGAACCCCAATGCAAACACCTTCGAAAAGCTACATATGTCCAAATGACACTCTTGTTGGACACTCTTGTGGGACACTCTTGTGGGACACTCTTGTGGGACACTCTTGCGGGACACTCTTGTAGGACACTTGTGTGGATCTCTCTGACGAGGCGCTCTTGTAGGACACTCTTGTGGGACACTCTTGTAGGACACTCTTGCGGGTCACTCTTCTGCGACACTCTCTTGTGAGACACTCTTGTGGGACACTCTTGTGGGTCACTCTTACAGGAAACTCTTGTGGGACACGCTTGTGGGACACTCTTGCAGGACACTCTTGCAGGACACTCTTGTAGGAAACTCTTGTGGGACACTCTTGTAGGACACTCTTGTGGGACTCTCTTGTGGGACACTCTTGTAGGAAACTCTTGTGGGACACTCTTGTAGGACACTCTTGTGGGACTCTCTTGTAGGACACTCTTGTGGGACACTCTTGTAGGGCACTCTTGTGGGACACTTTTGTGGGACACTCTTGTAGGAAACTCTTGTGGGACACCCATACGGGACACTCTTGTGGGACACTCTTGTAGGACACTGTTGTGGGACACTCTTGTCGGACACTCTTAAGGGACACTCTTACATGACACTCTTACACGACACTCTTGTAGGACACTCTTGTGGGACACTCTTGTGGGACACTCTTTTCGGAAACTCTTGTGGGACACTCTTG